CTGCCCAAAGGGCAGGAAGTCAGCTGGGGTCATAGGATCCCAGCAAGATAAGCATCCAATTTGCTCTTGAAGGTGTTCAATGTAGGTGCTTGAACCACCTCCGATGGCAGGCTGTTCCAGACCTTGGGGACTTGGACAGTAAAGAAATTCTTTCTTATGTCCAGCCTGAAATGGTCTTGTAGTAGTTTATGACCGTTCAATCTCATCATCCCTTGGGGCGCTCTGGTGAACAAACGTTCCCCCAGATACTGGTGGTCACCCCGATAAACTTATAGGTAGCCACCAGATCACCCCTGAGCCTGCGCTTTTCCAGGCTAAAGAGCCCCATGGCTCTCAGCCTGTCGTCATAAGGTCTGTTTTCCTGACCTCTGATCATGCGCGTGGCTCTTCTCTGGACTCTCTCAAGCTTCTCCACATCCTTTTTGAATTGTGGAGCCCAAAACTGGACGCAGGCTGTGTCATGGTTGGTTCTGACCAGTGCTAAAAATACCACAGGAGTGAAGATACAACACATTTTCTCTAAGTGCAGGTAAATACAAAGGGCAAAAAAGAACTGCACTGGGGCAATCTGCAGCGGAAAGGAAATTCTTACCGGCCAGTGATTCTTCGGATAAGCAAGGAGTCAGCAATGCTGAATTCAATCACAGAGTCCAGCTTCTCTCTCCTTTTCTCCATGAGATCATCCAGCTGTAACACAAAACGTACCACTACAGCACACAGTGACTTCAGACAGCATCCAGTCTCCTCTGGAGACGCAGCTAAGGGTGGGAAGAGAGCTACGAGGAGCTGGAGGATTCAAGGTCACGTACCATCTCTGCCTGCCGCACAGTGCGAGGGAAGCCATCCAGCAAGAAGCCATTTTTGCAGGGAGGGGTGTCTAAGTTATTCTCTATCAGCTCTACCACCATCTCGTCACTCACCTTAGAAGACAAGACATAGACAGCTCATTACAAACAAGAAGGCAAGACTAGCTCCATATCAAAAGGCTGCCAACTGCACTCCTGAAACCAAGACAGCTCCAGTGAGTATTCGCTATCGCACCTCTCAGTCACTGAGATCAGAGTCAGGAAGAACCCAGGCATTGTGAAGGCTTGTAACATATTGAATCCTGGGTACAGCAAAAACAGCCAGAAGCAGAAATTTTAACGTTGGGTGCAGGTAATAATTAAATCATTGTGTTAACACATCCAAAGCCTGCAAATTCAACATACACCCAAGCCAGGAAGCCACTTTACAAGGCACATCAATGTTAAAAATAACTTTTGCCAAGTAAGTGCAAGTGTTACATGCTGCAATACATGAAAATAAACAACCCTTGGGAATATTAACTGTATGCCTTGGCTTTGGGACTGACTCTACAGTTCCCACATGGGCAGAAGCAAAGTGGGGGGGGGGGAGATCTCTGAGAGCGTACAGCAGTGTTTCTGAACTGGGGTGCCGCCACATCCAAAAAAAAGTGATGGAAGGGTGCCCAAGGTTGAGAACCACTGGCCTAAGGCCTGCCAAATCAGAGGGCAGGCCTTAGTGTAAGTATGCTTGCTACAACTGACATCCATGATTAATAGAAACAAAATAATCTCCGCGATAGTGAGCATGTTATCATCCCTTCCCTGTTCGGGGCAGACAGGCCTCTTTTCTGCAAACAGCTACAAACCAGCTGAATTTAAAACCTGCAAATATTCCCATGTTAGACTAATAAGGAAGTTAGGCACATGCAAAAAATACTTGCACGATCTACAGGCTTTCCAGCACTACAACTGGAATATACAATTGGATTAATTTCTTCCATTCACTACAGAGATTTAAGAGATCCCAGTGACCACCTAGCTACCAATACCTTTTTAGTTAATCTACAGCAGCTTCACTGACCTTTGAACCAGCATGCCTGATTTCCATGACTGTAACATAGCTGAACTGGGTGCTAGGTTTTGGGGTAGTTTAGAGGGAAGAAGCCTTCTACAGCTGACATATGTGAAGGTCAAGCAGTTCTCCTGAACCCAGAGGTTATTTTTGACTGAAGGACTACAGAATCACAATGAGAAGCTATTTATTTTTAAAAATAAGCACCAACTCTAGTTACAGGCTCCGTTAATTACTGCACTTCTATCAAAATAAGCTCTCTCAAAGCCAGAATATACCCAACAACAGCTGGCCAATGCAGTCCACCATCCTCTTAGCATGCAGAGGAGAGATATGGCCAGTATGCCTCGATAACACCCCTATCTGTCCCAACCAGCTGTAATATTGCAGAGTCAGGGATGCAGCGCTAGCTCAAAGTAAAGACTGGAGATAAGCATCCGTGTCCTTTTACCCTGAATCCTGGAAACTCTCCTCAAGGAGTTTCCTTGAAGTACAAGAGCCTGTTATTGCCAGTGGTTCTAGTCAGTGCGGCACACCGTGAGAAAGGAAAAGGACTGAACCCATCTACACAATGTAGTTACGGGAGCACCAGCCTGGGAGACAGGAGACCTGGACTCTATACCAGAACCTGCTCCAACTCAGCACAATCTTGGGGAAGTCGCTTCATCTCGCTTTGCCTGTTTTCTACAAGAAGTCTCAGTTTTTTTCTCAGGCTGGGCAACCCTACAGATAAGCATGCTACTGACAAGTACCATCCACCACTGGAGCTCAAAAGTTAGGCTGCTGTTGCATGAAGTTGTTTAATGCCTGCTGTACCTGCAAGCAACCTGGGATCATCCAACAGATTTCTTTTTTGGGAGGGGGGAGGGAGTGGGGGCAGATGGACACCTATGAATAACTGGAATTTTCACTCTGTGGGAGTTCAAGACACCATATGGGCACGAGGATTATGAGCTCCAAAGTGTGGAAACCTATTTCTGCAACATCAAAGACACCGGGTTTTAATCAAGAAGTCTCATAAATTAGAAGCTGACTGGGCAGAGTTCACTGTGTGTAATGTGACGCTAGATTAATTTGGGGGGGGGGGGGGGG